AAGGCAGCTCAGTCATCTATCTACGTGAGCCGTGAGCAGGAGGAGCCCAGCTCTGCCAGCAGCACGCCCGGCCAGAGAGATGCGCTGCAGCTGCTCACGTTGATGGTGAGGCAAACCCAGCAGGACAGCTTCTACCTTCAGAGGCCTGCAGCTCAGCGCTATTCTGAGAGACACCCATGGCCATTCCTCTCACACTGGCAGGGCACTGGGGACAGTTTGGACACCGGGACATGGTGTGGCAGGGATGGGGCCTCCCCAGACTCTGCTTGGCTGTCCCTTGCCCTTGCCCGGGGCCCTGCTCAGTCAGGGGCCACCAGGGAGGCTTGGGCAGGACAGGCCCCATGCTGTCCCCAGCCAGGGCCTGCAGCCCCTTCAAGCCTGTCCACACCAGGGCCCTAGCACTTCCCTGGGACAGCCCGTGGCTCCCACACAAGCAGTGCTCCCAAAACCTGCCCTTGCTCTCTCCCACCTCCTTTGCCCCCTCTCCCACCGGCCCCCGCATCCAGGCAGCTCCTGCCTTGCTCACCCAACCTCGGGCTCCCTCCCAGCCAGACCTGCTCAGCCCCCTTTTCTCCCTCCTGCCACAGGCCATGGAGGCATTCATTGCACTTGTCCTGGCTGTGCTGGCCTTCCACAATGGGGTGTTCCGGGACCACCGGGCACCAGTGGCTGTGGATGAGCAGATGCAGCAGCGAGAGGAGTTTCTGCGTCAGGAGATGATTCAGCTGCATCAGGAGATCGAGAGGATTGAGGAAAACACACTGGGCTCTTTGTGGAAGCACTGGCTGCTTTGGTGGAATGTAGGAGTGTGCCTGGTCCTGATTGCTGCGCTCTGCTGGCGTATCAGGAAAAGGAAGCTTTGCCGTGACATCTCCAGTGAGCAGGACAGCTCCAGTAGAAAGGAGAAGGAGGAGGAAGACGTCTACGGTGCACACCATGTTGATGGGTCTTGCCTGCCCGACGCATGCAAGGTGCTGAAGAAGCTGGTGGGTGACCTCCTTGATGTCTGCAGCGTGCTGTGCATGAGGACCTGCATGCCTCAGATGCAGCCTGCCTTTGGGCTTGACAACGCTGATGAAGTCTGGAGTGTTGAGGAGAACAACATCATGTACCGCCTGCCCGTCTTCCTGCAGCCGCCTCCTGGGCACTCTTTCAGCCTGGAGCTGGACACCTCGGGGCAGCTGCCAGCCAGGCGCTCCAGCATCCATGTGCTGCTGGAGTGCACGTGTTGGAGGCAGCAGCTGCTGGGCAAAACCTAGTGCATTCTCCACCAGCCCAGCAACAAGCTGCCAGAGGAGAAGTGCTTGAGCCTCCTTCGCACCCTCTGCACGCAGGCATACTTAAATGTGGAGAAAATTGCCTGCTGAGTCCAGGAGCTGGTGAGATCAGCCTGGCCTCTCGTGCCTCAGTCACGGCACTGCCAGCTCACGGTGCTGCCCTCCTCCCAGTCCTGCTGGTTCCAGCTGACAGACACCTCGGATATGACCATCTGCACTGAGATGGTTTTTGCGGTGGAGCAAGGCAGCTCAGTCATCTATCTACGTGAGCCCTGAGCAGGAGGAGCCCAGCTCTACCAGCAGCACGCCACGGCCAGAGAGCTGCCCTGCAGCTGTTCACACGGATCGTGAGGCAAACCCAGCAGGACAGCTTCCACCTTCAGAGGTCTGCAGCTCTGCATCCACACCCTGCTGCTCACAGGCTTTTCCAACCTGTTAGGGTTTGAGCAGAGCCAGTGAGTTGCCAACACCTGGAAGAGGAATTCGCCACGTGCTCTGCAGAATCCAACTACGTCGGGTGCTGTGAAGAGCCGTGGACCCCTCTCCTGAGTCGGCCTTATCACAAGGGACCCTCACCCACCTATTCCTGCGATTATCAAGATTGGTTTGGTATATATTTCGAGAAGCGTATAGGAGATAAGTTTAGATAGCTGTTCTTCACCGCACGTGTTACTACTCCCTTTTCTGTGTTACAATAAACTTGTTCCGGTTTCAGTTTCCAACCTTTTGGTCTCCCTTTCCTTATCCCTCATTTCCCTGTGGAGGGTGAAGGGGGGGTAACAGAGAGCAAATGTGTCCTCTGGTTCACCCGCAGCGCTATTCTGAGAGACACCCATGGCCGTGACTCTGAGGACCCAGTTTCCTCTCACACTGGTGGGGCACTGGGGACAGTTTGGACACAGGGACAGACAATGTGCTCATCTCAAAAACTGCCGGGGACTCTTTTCTCCCTCCTGCTACAGTCCATGGAGGTGGTACTTGCATTTGTCCTGACTGTGCTGGTCTTCCATCATGGACAGGATCATGTCCACCTGGCAGAAGTGCTAATTGCTGAATAGATGCAGCAGTGCAAAGAGTTCCTGCAATGTGTGATGATTTGGATTCTGTAGGTGTTTGAGGGAAAGGAGGAAAGTGTTCTCCCATCTATGTTGCAGTTCTAGTTCCAGGAGTGTGCCTGGCCCTGATGGCTGTGTCCTGCTGGCTGTTCAGGGAAATGAAGTTTCACCATGGCAGTTACAGTGAGAAGGACAACTCCAGACATGAGGAGGAAGACCTCAAAGGTGGACACAATAATGTCACATCTTTGGCTGTGTCCATCCCACTGCCAATACAGTGCTGCCCTCCTCCCAGTCCTGCAGGTTTCATCTGACAGGCACCTTGAACATCTGCACTGAGAGAATTTTTACAATGCAACAAGACAGTACAGTCACCTACCTGAGCCTGGAGTATGCAAAAGCCAGCTGTCAGTGTATTGTGTTGTACTGTGTTTATTGTAGTCTATTCTGTTATTCAGTTTTTATCTAATAAGTAACATCAGGTAAGAGAAAGTGCAGTAGCATCTAATAGTTTCTGAGCCACACAATACATTTGGGCAGAAACAGGTGATACTCTGGAAGTTACAGATTACTCATGTACAGTTACTCATGTAAATCTTACTCTCAGCTTCCATCCAGATGCTCTGTACTCCTCAAGTTCTTCCATTTGTTCAAATTCTCTTAAATTTTTGTATGTCTATTGTAAAAAGATAAGAAAGCATTTCAATAGGACAATTTAAATCCTCTCCTCTATGCATAATCCAGCATCTATTTTGAAGCAGTTGTTTTCCAGCAATATATTTTGAATACCATATTAATTCTATGACCATATTTCTTCACCATTTTGTTGTTCATTTGGCTAATGTAAAACCAGCGAAAATAACTAGTCAAACATCTAATCAGAGTTACAAAATTCTCCTATGATGAAATGCAGATGAAATTGTCAATCCACAAAGTGTTGTTTTGTATAGCTCTGAAACCATGCACAAACCCAAAGATCTGCATGGGTTCAGTGGAAAACTAGAAATAAATGTTCATTTATTCAAGACATTTCATTAACCATTTTTCATCTCGTGACAAAGCTGGGTTAATTTTTAAGTCAATTTTTAAGTCTCTTACAAAACCATAATGATTTGAGTTTTTGTAACTAAAGATTTGCACTGGTTATTTCACAGATAATGCTCTGATACTCATTTTGCTAATTCTTTCCCACCTCCCTACATTTATAATTTATGTTGCATGCAGACAACAGGAAAACAAAACAAAACAAACAAACAAAGCCAAACCAAACCAAACCAACAAAAAACAAAACAAAACAAAAGCATATATACATATATGACAAATACTGTTTATTAACTTTGCACATCTAAGATCATATGTGCCCAAACTATGAAAAGGTTTTCAAATGAAATAGCACAATCAATTCCATATTCCGCAGGTCTATTTGGCAATAATACTTGCCTCTGTTTTGCACGTGTATATATTAAATGACAGTCACTGTACCTTAAATTGCCAGTTGTATTGCTGATTTTCTTTTTCTCAATTTCTTTCAAACTCTTTGTACTAGCTTGTCAGGGGTTTTTTTTGTCTGTATTGGGGTGTGTGGTGGTTGCATTCATCAAGCTGGAGAGAAGGCAGTTATTGTAGAGATTTTAAATTTTTAAATTTTATAATTAAACCCCACTCTAGTGAAGACTTATGTATGTTCCTTACTTTAAACACATCATCTGTCCCGCTCACTAAGTCAAGAGGATTAGTGTTAAACACATGTAAATCTTAGTAGTTTCAGGGCCCAAATAGCGTTTTTTAAAATTATTTATTTTTTTATTTTTATTTCTGAACCTAAAGGAATTGATCTGCTGATAATTAGACACTAAGCAATTAGTTTCAAAGTACACTGATGATTACAGAAGGATTCATCCTGGGGCAAAGTTCTGTTTTGGGACTTAAAAAGCTTGGGTCAAGATCAGCCTCATGAAATAGCTTTGAATAAATCACTGAGGTTCAGATACCGAAGTCTTCCGCTTCCACGTGCCCAGGTGTTTGAGTAGAAACAAATTATATTCTGGAGGTTAGAGATGCTAGTACTCATGCAAATCTTCCTCTCAGCTTCCCTCCAGAGGCTCTGTACTCCTCAAATTCTTCCATTTGTTCCAATTCTCTTAAATTTTTGTATGTCTAGTGTAACAAGGTAGGGAAGAGATTCAATAGGACAATAAATCCTCTATGCATAATCCAGCATCTATTTTGAAGCAGTTGTTTTCCAATAATATATTTTGAATATCGTATTAATTTTATGAGCATAAGGCCGAGTGCTACTCCTGTAAAGCATGAAGTTGTACATGCCCCCATCACTCCTAGGTGTTAGCAAGCATGTATCCATTCTTTAGCTCCTTACTTTTTTTAAAAAGCCAAAGCTGGATCCAGGCAGATTATGTGTCTTCCAGAGTAGGGGATCGCAGCTTTTGCATTTAAAGGTATTTGAAGACATGGTCTTTTTCCCGGTGGCAGTTATTACACTTCAGTTTAGCCAATAGGTGCTTTGGTCATGCAAATTAATATAATAGAAAAAAACAAAAAAACCGAATTGTGACATCAGTGTTTAGGTACTCTTTAAACACAACCTAGTAAGTATATAGAAGCTATGCTCTACACCTCTCTACATTCGTATATATTCAGCAGTACTGGGCTAATCATACCATTTGTATTCCAGAGAATAGTGAGAGGTTACAGAAAGGTTTCGTGCCTTCTCCTCATATACCAGTTCAGTCAAACATGAGTTAGAGCTGTACTTCTTATTACATTATTATTAGCATAAGTTGTTTTAGTAAAGTAGTAAACAATTCATAACGAAATCTTCAAAACCATATATGTTTGCCTTTCCCCCCACTTCAATTGGTTTTGAAGAGAATTATTTCCTTCAAATATTTTGTTTAAAAATGTGGTAACAGTGTATAGTTTTTCCACTCCGACTGGGCCTGTGTGTTGGCTTTTTTTTCCGAGTAAAATGTTTGAAAACTTGGCGGCATAGTGAAAGCAAGGAAAGTGTACGGACAACTGAAGTTCTTAATCTCTTCTTAAAAGACATCAGTGCACAAAAGATGAAGTGGATGTCAGCTTGTAAGTACCTGGGGCCAGGTCTGCAGGGGGTTTAAACATCTCATTTCCACTGAAGTTTCATCATATATCCACGTGCTGGTTTAAATAGAAAGAACACTGTGACAGCTATGCTGCAGTTGCACAAAGCAATGCAAGTCAGGGAGCAAATCCCCATTGTGGTGAGCAATATAGAAATTACAGGGGAGCACTGTTCACCAGAGCCTTCACAGTGTTATCCTACTTCTTTTACTCTGATTTCTGTTGATATCTAGTATTCCAGGCAGGCACTCTGCTATGGAATAAACCCCAAAGTATCAATTCAAAAGAGGTCTGGATCCTCTAATGGAAGAGCAGCCAGGTTATATTATTTCCAGGGGGTAAGGATGCCTCCAGACTGCTGAGTTTGACAGCCTAACATATGTCCAGGCTGCCTGCAAGCCCCAAACAGCCTGTCATCCTTCTTGGAAGGAAGAGGCAAACGGCACAAGCAAACCTTAAGCAAGAACAGTGTGAGCAGATGGTGTTAATTCCAAAGTCAACTTGTGCACCTACGTTTGGTCCATCTCAGGAGGGGCAAACATACAAGATAGTTGTGTGAGTTGGAACTGTCATTTCCTAGAGTTGGTTCATCCAAATAGGATGGACCTTTCAGTTTGCATTTGAAATGTCAGGTTCAAGTAAACCAGCTTTAAAGTCTGCCACAACTGAATTCAGGTCAAAGCTAGAAGTTTAATTTTTTCTGCCAATGAGACGTCCAACTTCAGATTGATTCTTATGTACCAAATCCTCACAGACAACAAAAACGTCAAGAATTTGGGGGGAGAAAGGAAAAATAAAGTTAGAATTTTG